TTATAAGCTGTTGTGTAAATGATTTTTGTTTGCCTATCTTTCCTGTTTTAGTCTGTCCAACTGCTGCTCTCGCCATTTAGTGGTTCTCTTAGGGGGAATAAGACCGACCAAAATGATCTATTGTATCTCTGATCTATTATAATATTTATCCAATTTTCCTCATAAATCTCTTGGGGAAATCAACAATTTTTTCCCACAGCCATATTGTATAGATCTATATTAATATTAATTATATATCTGTAAGCTGTTGTTGAAATTGAGTGATTTGGTCGTTACCGATTTGTTGGTCTGTCAATCCTCGCTGTTTGTCTGTCAGACGAGTTTCGACATTACGCAATTTTCAGTGTATTGTACAAATTCAGAATTCATTATAAATTTATTACTACTAGTACAAAGGCCCAACACTAAAGATAGTGAGAAGACCAAAAGCAATGATCATGGCAACGGCCAAATTGCTCAGTTTCAACATCGGTGTACAGAATTTGATTTTTTTAGCATTTAGATGTTACTTTTGTCCGCAGCTCTTTGTTCTTTAAATGTTGTTGGTCGCTTCTGATAATTTTGCTCTGTCAGATGTGTTCGGCTTCTGGTTAGTTTTAGGTCTCTTGGCCAGACAGCAGGTGATCGGTCAGAGGTGGTCAGCGATATTACATACCACTCAGGCAGGAACGGAAGCTGCTCCATGCCACTAGATCGTGTGTTTTAGCAAAGGTAGGTAGTGTATGTGTTGCGTGCCAAAATTTTCTCACGGTAATAAATAATTTTAACGAATCCAATTTGCGTACTATGTGTTTTATAATGTCTGCTTCGAGCTCGGTCGAGGAGCACCTTCTTTTTCTTCTTGTATGTAGTAGGAAAAATGCTGGCTTCATGAAATAAACAGACATTAACATTTCTATAGTCTTTATAATGTGAATCATACAGAATTTCACATTCATGAATTTTTCCTATGAATTTGTCAGTTTCCTCGATCATGATTATCGCTCGACTGTGCGACAATTTTGTAAATTTGTACAAATTATAGCTTGTTGCGGCGATCATAAGACGAACTTTTGATGATGGCGAGAAAACGCGTCTGACAAACCAAAACAGCGCATGTGCAGATAATTTAAATTTTTCCTCAAAAAATTTGAAACTTTTAAAAACCTTTTTTTTTTTCTTTTTTTTTTTTTTTTGTCGTTGCGATAATTTTGGTCTGCCTAGCTTTCTGCTTTGATCTTTCTGACGATGTCTGACGAATTCGGCATCTCGTTTCTTTTTTCAGAGGGGACATACTAAAATGACTAGATTAAGACCAAATTTTGGTCTGTCCAGTTTTAGACTTTCTAGTTTAGAGAGGAAAGATAGACCAAAATGCAGACGCCCAAACTAAGGATTTATCACTACGCCAGACTCCAAGAGTAAATCATACAATTTTATATATTTATTTAGATGAATTAATGTTATTGAGACCCACCACTGAAGATGGCGGGAAACTACAACGCATCTGACAGACTCAACGAGTATAGGAGGATCGAAAACGACCAAATTGCATATACTAATATATTTTATTCAAATCATTTTACCATCGTTTTTTAATATATTTGAGCCATAACCTTTTTTCATATCAAACTAGAACAAAATTTGACCCACGAGATGAAACAAAATCGAAAATGAAAAAAGCCAAAATCCTGAAATAAAATAATGTTCAAAAATCCGGGTAGGCTGTAGGTAGAGAACAGACGGTGTATCTGTTACAATTTCATCGCTTTGTTATTTGAACTTAATAATAAGTCTGACCAGTTATTACGACGAACAAAATATTGAGTCATTAATACTAACACCCCTGCATGTTACTATATTTTTTTACGTAAAAGCGGCAAATCAAAATCAAAAAAGGATAGGCGAACCCGGAGGAAATCAGGGGAAAACAGTCATGAGACATTCTTATCAATTTTTTATCATGCTCTTACTCATGATATCACTCCTAAGTACTTTAGATATACTGCAAATTAATCATGTAAATAGAGAAACACACATTTTCTATACTTTTTTGTAAATCTTCAGCACGGTTTACCGTGTTTTCTACGTTTCCTTTTTCATAAGAATTCATATAACAGAAGAACTGGGTAAATCGTTCTGTGAAATACCTTCCAAAATTTTACAGTAAACACTTAACAGGAAGCTAGTAAAGAAGTCAGGTTGAATATACCAGGAATCCTAGACAGACGCAAAGATAAACGGGCAAAAAGTCAACATTAGTCTTTCTCATCATCTAGTGGCATATTTATGCATGGTCCTATTCCTCCCGGGTAAATTGATCATGCCAACAGGGAAAAATGAATTAGGTTTTTAATTATTGAAAAATCTCTCCATGGTTTTATTTTGTTTATTCTATTTTTAGGCAAAAAATTGAAAATTTATTAGATAAAACAGACTGGGAAACACTTTTAGTACTTTAGTATTTCAACGTATCTACCGGAACTAGCGTTGATGTCAGTATAAAAATCAAGAAAGATTAACCGAAAACGTAATTAACGGACAAACAGTCGCCGTGAGTCATTCATGTCAACTTTCTATCATTTTCTTTCTGCATGATCTCACCCTGATATAATCAATATCGCATTGTATGACAAAAGATTACGAGTGTAAATATTCGTCCAATTTTCCTTATAAATCTTTTGGGAAAGACAATTTAGCCCCGTTATTATAGATGAAAAAATAATATTAATTTTAAATATCTACACATTGATGTTGAAATCGAGTAATTTGGTCGTTGCCGATCATTTTGGCTATCTATCCTTGCTGTGTTTGTCTGTCAGACGAATTTCGATATTATGCCATTTTCAGTGTATTGCACAAATTCACAATTGATTACTACAAAGGCCCAACACTGAACATGGCGAGAAGCCGTAACACGTCTTGACAGACAAAAATGATAGACCAAAATGATCGGCAACCACCAAATTACTCATTTCAACATCAATGTACAGATATTGAAAATTAATATTATTTTTTCATCTATAATAACGGGGCTAAATTGTAATTAATTTGTTGCTTTTCTTTTGACATGCCAGGGCATTTGAAAATAGGCGTAAAATGATGGAAATTTCAAATTATAGGTTCATCACCTCGCAGACCACACAAAAAATCTCGTTATTGAAATTCGTAGTCGTAGGGAAAGTTAAATGTTTGTCATATTTTTGTGGTGTTTAGTGACCGTTAATTAAGGTTATTTGGAGATCTTGAGATGCGGTCTGGTGTGACGTACGTTTAGAAAAACTATTACAATTAATTAAGGTTTTTAGTTGAGATGAAAAAAAGTCAATGGCACGAGCGGGATTCGAACCCACGATCTTCGGCTAGATACGCCGCTGCTCTACAACTTGAGCTATCGTGACCTCTATCCACTCGGACATCAACTTCCTATCTCAACCCCACCTTATGAGTTTTCCCTCCTTTTTGCCATTTTTCAAATGTCGTGTAATCGGTTTGGATTCTCGACGACAATTGAAATGGCCACGGAGTAATGATTTAATTGGTCAAGCGGACCACGAAATTAATGAATTTAAAGAATTAATATGAAGTACACTTCACTAAAGCTCTCCGTGGCCATTTCAATTGTCGTCGAGAATCCAAACCGATTACATGACATTTCATAAAAATGAAATTTCTTCGGAACATTGAAAATTCACTGGTACTCTCGTTTTAAGTATGATTAAATTTTATTTCTTTATTTTTTTTTGTATTTTTACTTATTTATTTTTTGTTAAACGAGACAGCACAAAAATAAACAGGAAAATCGGAAAAATTGAAAATCCACTGGTACTCTGGTTTTATCTATGGTTAAACTTTATTTATTTATTTTTTTAATTTATCTATTTATTTATTTTTTGTTAAACGAGACAGCACAAAAATAAACAGGAAAATCGGAAAAATTGAAAATCCACTGGTACTCTTGTTTTACTATGATTAAACTTTATTTATTTTTTGTTAAACGAGTAGCACAAAAATAAATAGGGATAATTTTTTTCCGATTCCTATAACAATTTGTAAATAATAACTATAATATTTTACGTGTGTGAGTTAGAATTTAAAAAACTTGTACGTTAATTTAATGATAGTTTAAATTATAATTATAATTGCTTTATTATTTACTTATAAAGTAGAAACTTTAATGTATCAATAAACATAGTACAGTAAATATAAAAAGTATAATAAAAAATAAGCAATTAAAATTAGTTTAAAATAACTATTTTGTTCTTTACATCTATAAACTGTAGTTTATTATGTTTAAATTGATTGATAAGGCAGCAAGACTGATTTCATATGTATTTAATATTATGTGTAACTGAACTATTTCCAGCACTTACTTCTTTCCACCCCAATAAATTATGTGGTGGTCTATTTATAAAATGAACGAAAGTCTTAAACTGTACTGGACGGTTAAGATAAATTTGTTGCTTAAAACTCACAAAAAATGCGATTTAAAGTAACAATTTTTTTTTTACTTTGTCGGAGAAAAATACGATAATCGTTAAACTCACGGTAATAATGATATTATTTCATGTTATTTTCACTAACTTTAACTTAACTTTATCCACAAGTCATGCAAGGCGAGAAAAATGGAAATAATTGCATACCAAGAAGAACTGTGCAACGTAAAAGAGGTGGTACAGTGTGAAATCATTCGGGCCGGGGTATGACACTCTTCTTTTTTTTTAGAAGGATGCATCTGCTGAATTCTTTTGGGAAATCAAGCAAATGATATCATCCTTTCATATGGAAGGTATGACAAACGCTTTTGTCAAAAGCCTTTTCCGTTGAGCCCCGTTAATCCTAGAAAGATTGTGACAACGTCAAGCCAAATTATGTTATTGCTTGGTTTCTTGATTTGGGTTAGTATTTCGAGGTTATTACTGGATTGAGTTAGTATGTTATTGCAATTTGTTTCCTATGGTTAAGATTAATTTCAAACATAAGCATCCACAGGTTAGCCTTTTTTTTTAAATCAAACTCACGAAAATCGCGCGAACTTGGTTTGTCCTTCATCTTCCGACTCTTCCGATTCGTCGTCCATATCAATCTCTGAGATCAACTCTTCGTCGTCGCTCGTCTCTGGGGTTGTAATTTTGAAGTTTTTCATTAGGTTGACCTGTTGGACGGGCTTTGAAGGTGGATTGTTTCCGCCAAAAGTCCGTTCAGCGGCCAGGAAAAGTTCCTCTGCTCTGGGCTTTCCAGGAAAAGAGGGTTTTAGCGGTTCAGGGAGTTTAGAAGGCGCCGACGGCGTCTCTCCTTTTTTAGGTGGTTCTGGTAATTTTGGAGTCTCTACTTTTTTAGGTGGTCCTGGTAATTTTGGAGTCTCTACTTTTTTAGGTGGTTCTGGCAATTTAGGAGTCTCTACTTTTTTAGGTGGTTCTGGCAATTTAGGAGTCTCTACTTTTTTAGGTGGTTCTGGCAATTTCGGAGGCTCTACTTTTTTCGGCGGCTCTGGTAGTTTCGGTGTCTCTACTTGTTTTGGCGGCTCAGGCTGCTTTGGAGTCTCTACGCCTTTAGGAGGTTCGGGTAGTTTCGGGGTTTCCACCTTTTTTGGTGGTTCTTCATTTCTTTTCGTATTAGGCACTGGAGTTGGCTCTTCTGCTGGCTCTGGTTTCTTTGCGACATTTTCATTTTCTTTTGAATTATCTGGCCTTCAAACAAAATAAAAATAAACAAATAAGAGAAATCAAAAGAAAAAAAATCAAATACAAATTAAAATAAAATACACAAATAAAACAAAATGTTATGAAAAAAATATAAAACAAAGTAGGGTAAAATCATCAATTATTGACGCTTTAAAGAAATTTTTCAAGTCCCATAACTTTTTATTAATTAACTTATCCTCATCATAGTTTGTCATATTTGTCCACGTCTAATTGAGAGATTTCGCTTTTAATTTTTGCCAAAATAGTAAAAATTTGTTTTTTAGACCAGAATATCGATGACAAGTTTTTTCCCCAATTGTTGACATACAAAAACTAATTATCGACAGGGAAACGAACCAGTTATTGACACCATATTCAACCATGAAACGAGTTTATTTTGAACAAATTAATTAATTTATATTTTTATTTATTGGTTCACAATTATGACACATTAGGTTCTGGACACTTTTAATTGATTAAAGTTATAACCCGTAGCTAAATATCACAAAATAGTCTGAGAAAGGAAATTACCTAGACAATTTTTAGAATGGTAGATATACTGTGGTACTTTATATTTTATTCAATATTTAAAGAATTACAAAATAAAATTCTGGTTTTTCCTTATTCCTAAACACTAGAGGCTTTGGCAATTTGGTATCTACATTCTGCTCTTTGACTAGTATTTCATCATCATCAATTTAGAAAACATTCTTAATTCTTTCAATTAAATAAGGTTTTTAGTTGAGATGAAAAAAAGTTAATGGCACGAGAGGGATTCGAACCCACGACCGTCGGCTAGATACGCCGCTGCTCTACCACCTGAGCTATCGTGACCTCGAGCCACTCGGACATCCACAGACATTGTAGTAAGCATATAAACCAAAGTCGTATAATATAAATTTAAAAAATTCAAAATAGGACTTTTTGAAAATCACACTATTGACAGCCCAAACAGCTGTTGTTTTAATCCAAAGAGACCTTTAGTAGGCCAAATTTTGAGTCTCCTTCTTAGAGAAATCCGCCAGGAACCGGCGACTGACTAAGTGACGAGAAATTTGCGTTCCCCCCATGGTGTAACTAACGTAAGACGCGATATTGGCGAGAATCAGTGGCTGATTAGTAGAATTTTGAAATTGCGCCAAGTTTGAAATCCTAGGAGATCCCAAACGTTTATTTCATCCAATTTAAATTACAAGTGTCAATAATAGGTGCCTATACCCTAAATATTTTCAAAAATATTAAGTCACGAGAAAAAATTGAATTTCAAGATAAAATGCTAAACGAAGAGCATGGTCTAAGAAGAAATGGTTGAATATAAATATAGATTAATTATGACGATTAAAAAGCTCAGGGGCTATTTTATAATTTACATTTTGAAAAATCCGTTTTTTCCAGTAATTATAATTTTTTAGATATGGCCAAACTTATATCCAAATAAGTATCTCTCGTTATACTATTAAATTATAAACTAATGTTATCCTTATATTTTTGAAGAAGCAACTATGCCACTTTTTAGGCTGTTATATTTCACTGTATCCTCCTGCACAAAACTCCCTAGATCTTTCAACTCTGAAGAAAATTGTGGGACGTGGAAATCTGCTTACTTTTGCGAAAACATCACGATCATCGATTGCTTTTCTCATCTGTTAAAACTAATTTATTATTAATTGTTAAAACAAAACATGACATCGTACAGACGGGTCCCATTTTTCTCTCGAAGTTCATAAATTCTGAAATAAGCCTGATCATTATATTTCTACGCAAACAGACATTTTATAAGAATTAATAAGCTTGACTATTCTAAGTTTAAGTTTTTTATTACCATATATGAAACAAGAAAGCTGAATGTCATCCTCTCTTGAATTAAAAATTGGTTGAATGCACCCTCATGTATTTGTATTATTGATTTATTTTGATTTACTAATAAATGTTCAATTAAACTTAATTACTGCTATATATAAATGTAATTAATTATTAAAATAAAGTTTATAAAGGAATTTTGGAAGCATATGAATATTTTTTTGCCAATTCTATTTTTGAGCAGTGCTTAATTGACTGTAAGCCATTAAAAATAATTCCACATTTCATTAGGATTTTTTTCTTTCAAATATTTTTGTTTAATACAAACTTGTCGATGTGTCTAAACATAAATGTAAAACTTAAAAATGACAATTGTTCTTAACCATGCTGTTAGGTATCAGAAATTGGTAAAAGCAAACGGGTGAAAATGAATCTTTCAAAGATGTTTTTCCTTAAGAATGTCGAGTGGAGATTTTGTAACATCTAATTGTATTTGGCTAGGCCGAGGCTTCTATTCTTGTGGCCAAAGGATCGAGCAGTGCTTTGCCTGGGTGGTTGGCACCAGATAGTCATCTCCAAATAGTTTCGGAACGTCTGGCTATCATTGCCAAGGTCCAAACTCACTTTTTCCCTGTTTATACTGATAGCTGGCGGCATCTCATACGAATAAATAAACAAATCTGTCAAGGATTTATGAATTACATCACAACAAAATAATTTTCTTCATTCTGTCAATGCAGAGATATACTAGGATTGATTCATTTTTCAAAAGATGATATTTTTCAGTCTAATAAAGAAAAAGAGTTAACTTTTTCTAAGCCTTTTAATGGTGTATAATATATACAGTGATATACCTTCTTTGCAAAAACCTGTTTTTGGTCTGCTAATGCCTTATACTAAAAAAGTCCATTTTTTATTAACTCTTGGCAGTATATCGTAGTTTGGATGTTTATCGATCGTTTCATCCAATCTCAACGAAGAAGAAACATTTTTCCATCACAGTTCTGATTAATGTCACACCAGTGAACCAAGAAAAAGTTACGTTTAACGGCTCCCTAATGGTTCGGAAAATTGTTATCTCCCCTCACAGAGTTATTGGTATGACTTTCCAAACTTTGATCTCCTCTGGCCAAGTAAACATGATTATGAAATATAAATATAAATATTTATAAAAAAATCAATATTCAAATAAATATATCAGACAAATGATCAGAAAATTGCACACTAGGAACTTCGTTAATGGCGGGAAAGCATCAAATACTATCATGAATTATTCAGCCTCCTGCTTTTGGAATAAGTTTTATTGGGTTGTCCGGAAAATAATGCAGGATTTTGGTATTAAACAAAAAAAAAGAAACTAGTTACTTTAAAGCAATGTTCTTTAATCAAANGACATTCATACAAATGAGTAATCCTGTAAACGTAAACAGAATATTTTATATAGATTTTTTTTAATGAAAACTTAAAATCCTGCATTATTTTCCGGACAACCCAATATTTAGCAGGCTAAATATACATAGGCTGCTTTAACAAATACGCAAAGTAAGCCCCAATTACTACACAGTATTTGAAAAATCGATCCTGTATCAAGTTCATGAATTTCAAGGACTTTAAATAAGTTATTTATATTTAATACTTAACTATAATTAACACTGTCTTGCAAACAATTATCCAAGCTTATACAAAGTCCACTGGCCAAATAAAGTCTCATTTCAATTAATTTTGTTTAAAAAAAAGCATAAAGAATTTATCGCATAAAAAAATTTACAGCCACTGGATCGGAGAAATTATTAAAACGGAATAGAAAGAATCTTAAAACTGAAGGAAAGCATAGCGGTTTGAAATAATTTAACTGTGGAGATGCATGGAAAGAAATGGCATAGGGCTGGTTGGAAAAAAGAGAGTAGTAGACTTGCCTTGGATGTCAGAAATTTGAGAATATTTTTAAATCCATGCCTTTTGTGATTTTACAAAATATTTTCATGTTTTGTGGAATATTGGTTTATAGGAGATATATTGTTCGATGGATAGATCGCGATTTCGGGTTTTCTAGTTATTTCAAGGGGGCAGTGTGAAAAATTCCATGCTTAGAGTTGTTTTGGAACTAGAAAGGAGTTATTCATTATAAGTTTTTTCTCTGATGGATGTCCTATAGACTACATTCTGCTTTAATTAATTGGAATGAATTCACAAGAAATTTTCACGCTGTTTGGTTTCTGTTCCAGCAAAATAAAGCTGGACCTCACACAACCTGTCGCCCCACTTACCAATAAGTGTCCAGGCTTCAGCCTGACATATCATAGCCCATTTTAATCACGGGAAGATAAGGTCATTTTTGGTGCCAACATATTTTTTAAAAAATACCAGCACCTTGGGGATTGATATTACCTCTGCTGTTGCGAACCCCCGTAAAAAATATTAAAAAATAGATAAATTGATGCACACAGGTTGCAAGCATAAGCGATTAATGTATCGATTATGGCAGTGGACAGGCATATTAATTATATTTTATATTAAATAAATAAATGAAAATTTTTTGTTGAAAGATTTCCTTTTTTATATACACATAGTATGATTCTCATTCGTACACGGTAAGGCTGATTAATAAGTCCGTACTACGTTTCTTTGTCCAAAAACGGCAAATATAATCGCTTTCTATGCGGGCCAAAACTTTGTTGAAGTTTGGTCCGATCATTTTGGTCTGGATATCTTCGCTGATTTGGACTATCAAACTTTTCGTTTTCTCCGTCTATTCCTGTTTAGTCGGTTGATCTTTTAGCATTAATTCTTAATATATTACAATACAGAAAATTATCGGAAAACTACCGCTTCACACTCCGCAGACCCCATGGAGAAATCTGACAAAATATGTGTAACATTTACACAGAAAACACACACTTTGAGTGGGTTCAAATACTTTGATTAAACCTAAAAATTTTCTATCGTGTACGTCATCGTATAAATTCATATTCGCATCTTACATGTATTTGTATAATTTAAACAATGTTTATAAATCTCAGGCCTGAAGATGATCTCAATAAAGGTCGAAACGTTGGCACGCAAAAGAGAATGTTTTTCTAAACCTACGTCACACCAGACCGCATCTCACGATCTCTAAATAATCATTGCAAAATTTTAATATTGCGAATAGAAATTTGATATTTTTCCGTAAAACTAATTTTATTCTCACAACAGAATGTTGAAATTATGCCGTGAGAGCGGGAATATACACTAATTTCCATCCGATTATCATAGCTAAACATTTCAGTGCGAAATATGATTTTGTTTATTTTCACCATGAGACGTTTGGATGTAGAGAGGGTAGTTAATTGCAGAAACTCTAAATTCTCTTATTTACACGGTTATATGGCTGATGTCCAATCTTGCCAAAACCAATGTATCCATATTTTTACGGAGAACTAATAAAACAAACTGATGAGCGGGAAAAGCTTTTTGGCCGTTTCATCTGGATCTCTTTATCAGCGGACTATGTAATTTTTTGAAGATGAAGAAAATATAGGTGTAAGAAAACGTTTTGCGGATTTTAAATGACTATATTTCAGATTTGCATTCCATACTCATCAACTTAATTTACCCATTAAACTTTAATCTAGTACTTTTACTTTACCTTGTTTGTTTATACATAAAATTATTTTTCCCGTTTCACCTCAAAGACATCGTCGGTCAGTTTCAATTTATTCAAACTGTTGGCAAGGTGGCACAATACAAAGTCTATTTTTGCTGCTTAATGCCGTTTTATTTTTATAAAGGAAGCTAGTCGAACACGACGATCAACTTAAGAAGCTTTAAGAAAAATAATCCACGTTGTGACACTCAGCCGAAGGAAGAATTCGAATCCTTAATTCTTTTGACCGTTGTAATACCAGACTGATTAAATATGAAGTTCGTGAAGTTCTTTTCCGTTTCTATGACAATCTTATGTCTTAATCAGGGTCTCTTTTTCTTAACTTTTAAATAGGGGCCGAATCGGTCCATTTCATAAAAAAACATCTTAACTTAAATAAAGTGACACATATTTAAAAAATTATTTTGATTCAATGAAAGAAGGAAAAGTTATAAATATAATGAACAATTTATTTTATTGTTCAAGAAACGTTTTTATAGGAAATATAGGCGAAATGAACTGAAACGTCCCAACTGATAGATTATAAACATCGTTTAAATCTAAATAATCAATTTGGAACGTTTAGTTCTCTGAAACATTAACTGCGATACCCTGTATGGCAAATTTTCTATTGGTCAACAAATCAGGCCAGCATAATTACATAGACAACGTTCTATCCCGAGAAACGTATAAATGCTCCATTGTTTTCCTCCTTCTGGTGATAATAACTTTTATGATTTAATTTTTCAATTTGCATGATTGAATTAACTCTTTTCTTTCGTCTTTTGAAAGAAAATGGTATTGAATTGGCGTCGCTTTAATTGTTTTATTTTGGTTTGGATTAATAAAACATTTTTCTTAATCATTAAAATACAATTAATAAAGTGAAATACAGCTTAAAAGATATAATTTCCGAAAGTGCTTTAGAAACATTTACTCAAGGTTTGAGAAAAGAAGTGCCATCTGGAAATGAGTTTTATAATCTGATAACGAGGCTAATCCCTCATTAAATTTTCTCAACAATTTAGCTATCTCTCTGGTACTTACCTTTGGCAAACATACACTTTTTTCATTTAGAAACGAGGAAAAAAGGCGTCAGCCGTGAAAACGATTTATAAAAAGAACAAAAGCAAGGGTAATGATTTTTATTTAGCTCTTCGGAACGGAATGGAAAACATGGTGTGCTTTTTCAGAGGACGGCTGCTCAATTTCGAAGACATTTTATTTCTTGGGTACCATCTAAAAGTAAAAAAAAGCAATTTTATGTAAATTCGAATGCTTCATTAAATGCGATATCATTAATTTGCAACAGCTAAAACAGAAATACAAAGTTCGGAACATGCTTTCAGTATAATTTTCTTGTATCCGAGTGGTTGTTTTCTCTTTTTTTCTGATGATAAAAATCTTGGCACTCGTGGTTTTTTGGCAATCCAAATTATTGAGGCAATAATTCTGAATAATTTGCCTTGACCCTGTTCAATCCAGGTATTATTTGAATAATATATTTATTAAACTTAATTAACATTAATTTCAAATAAATAATTATTCTTTGTATGTAAGGTCTTGGTTGAAATGAAAAAGTTAGCTTCACGAGCGGGATTCGAACCCACGACCCTCGGCTCAACAGGCTGCTGCTACAACCACTTGAGCTATCGTTACTTCGATCCACTCGGACCTACTAACTACCCATCTCTACCTACAACCTTTCGAATTTTCCCTCCTTTTTTGCCATTTTTCAGTTTTGGTCAATCAGACCACTAAAGATAATGGAATAATTTCAATTATGATACTACATTTTACAGTACTGTATACAGCAACATTTCCAATACAATTTATCAAACAGGGTGTTTACAAAGGGATTCCGGATGAGGTAAGCATTTTATTATTAAGAATATTGATAAATACCCATATTATTTGTTTAAAGTTATTTTAGTAGCTGCTTGGGTCTCCCCCAAGGGTCTGATTTTGGACCAACCTTATGTAAAATCTTTATAAATGCCATTTGCAAGCTAAAAACTACAGCTGGACTTGCTCCTTTTCTGATGATACTGCCTTTAAAAGAGCCTCCTATAGGGTTGATTCTATTCGAAGAGAATTACACACAAGCTCGCTAATCCCATAGGTTAAGAATGTTAAATACCTTGGAATGTATCTAGATACGACTGAATTTTAGTTACCACATTAAAAAAAAGCATGGACCATCTTAAGAAGCCATTATCCGATGTATGGACAGTAAAAATAAAAAACTTTTTTATGAACCGTACATACATCCATTAATAACTTACGTTAACTAACTTTCCAATTTGGGGAAATATATACATCCAATTTTGCTAAATTCTACTTTGTCCAAAATGTGGCTCTAAGAATCATGGAATGATTGCAATTTTTATAATTCATGCATAAACAGCCCATTTTGTACATACCAAAAAATCTTTTTAAATTAACCTATTTAGCTTATTTGTGCAAAAATAAACATAGAATGAATAAATAAAACTAAAAAAATTTTGATGTCAGTACTCAGTTTTATTAGCTTTTCAATTTAGTTTATTTATTCTACGTTTATTTTTGTAATAATTAATTGATCTCCAAGTTCGCCGGGCTCACAGTTGAAGTCCCAGATTACAAGAATGTGACCTATACAACCTAGGTTAACAGCCCACATCTATAGATCAATTGTAATTTTTTTTATAATTAGCTCATTTCTACTTAACAAAATTCGTCTTATTTATAACAGGGAAGATATGAACCTCTGTGATTACAAGCATAAAAGGCTTAAACATATATTGTTTGAAAAATAATGAACATGGAACATTAAATGGAAATGTGTGTCTTACCTGGTTTAACCAATTGCTGTGACAATGTGTAAATAGATGTTTTTGTATGTTAGTCGATTTGTTATTGTCTTATTTATTTATTAAACTTGTGTACTTGCTACCTATATTATGTTTATACTTTTCTGTAATGCCTGAGATTTTTTAAAATATATTTTTCCCCAAACGATTTGAAATAAAATGCTTCTTATTCAAATTCAATGCTTACTAGGTGAATAATGCCCTGGGGACAACTGAATATAACTATGTAAACAAACACTTAAAATCAAAATTATAAATGTGTGGTGGTAATTGGCTCAAAATTATAAGCAATAAAATTCATACATACAATCAAGAAAAAATATCAATAAGATAATAATTATATATTCAAATTCAATAATTCTACAAAATAAATGGCAACACATTAAATCTTACCAATTAGTGATTATTTCAAAACTTATTTACTAATATAATTTTATCCAATATTATCATCAATAACCCCTCTGACTTGAAAATTTAAAAAATAAAAAAAATCTTGATTTTCCTAATCATAAATGATCACCAATTATTCCTCATATTATCCGGCTATCCGGTTAGCATTGGGTTTTATATTTCATTCATGCTTGACCCGTTACAACGAAGTTCAAACCTTTTGACGAAAAGTGTTTCTGGCGTGATTCGTGATACTTCAACATGACAGTCCAGACCACAGACCGGGCCCCTTTCCCCGAGGTGAAAGCCTTTCACAAGGGTGTAGACTTGTATAGCAAGTCCGTCTCGCACTTTGACGTCCGTGGTACAAAAATATCTTTAAAGAACAGAAAAGTCAATCTACAGCGCTTCAGAAAAGAATTAATAATATATTTTTAAACCTTGCACGGCCGACACTTACAGTAAAGTTTTAAAGGCTTTTAAGGATTACAAACAGCAGAAAAGTCACCAAGAGAAAAGAAATTTTTTCACCATCGCCTTAATGTAGAACAGGGATTCGATAAATTTTGTTACAACGTTTTATGTTTTAATGAAGATGTAGAAAAGAAGAAACAACTATTTCTCTGCGGTTATCGTCGATTCACTGTATTATATTTTGTTTTTGGGACGATTCGGGGTCCATTCCCCACCTTCGGCTAAAAAACAACTCTGAATTATATTCTGCCAACATACAATTTTTTTATGAGCTAAAGATGTGAAATTGACCATGAAACGCCCAAAACAAAATATAAAAAAAAGTAAATTGTTGATAACCATTGGAAAAAAAGGTTGTTTCTTCTTCCCTAAAGGAATTGAAGAGGTTGCACCAGGACAAAAACAGTGGTAAATAAAAACAAACAAAACATGATTTATTAAACTACAATCTTTTCTGAAGTTTTGGAATAATTCATCTTTGATGGCCATTTTAGAATCACAACTTAAAAGAATGAATGCAAGAATGTCACAAGGAAGTGTACTGGGACCTGTCCTATTACAGTCTTCGTTCAATAATGATATTTCTGATGTAGAAAATAATTCATTCAATCGTTTGCAGATGACAGGGGTATTTTAGCCTTAAAAAATATTACTGAAGTCAGACAACAAACTCAGTAAATGGACAAAAATAAGAGGATGTAGAAAAATCTAAGTTGTACGTGTAAATTTCACTAAGAAAGAGAGCTATTCAACATAATGGCAAATGAATCGTAAACGAATTCCAAATAAAAATCGAACACATTTCACTTCATCCTACAATATGCTGGAAAAAGAGAGAAGAAAAAAGTAAATACAGAAAAATCTATTGTCGATGACCTCAATTGTTTCTCAGCCCATAAACCTCCCACTTTATATAAGAAACTCTACCCGTAAAAAATAAGCTTATCCTTTATTGTCCAACTTAGACCTGGGTCTGAAGCAGAGTAATTTATAAACCATTCAAAGGTATCATAACGTAACGTGGCCTCTTGGGTATGACACTAATCGAGACCAGAACTTAGATCCGACTTTTTAATCTAGAACCAAAAGCGCCAAGAATCACGAATAACCTTCATCGCGGCAGGTGAATAAATGCGAATAAATAAATGTTAAAACGGTATACTTTTCGTTCATGGGGATATGTTTTAACATAGAGAAATAAAATGTTTGGACAGGTAGAGGGGTTTTTGCGATTCTTCGTCAGGATGCTGTTCAAGGTGCCCAACCACAGCCCTCCTCTATGCTGAGACAGGTCTGACGATTTTTCTCTACACTATAAAACTTCATTTCGATTACATAATCAGAATTTTATCCCTACCCGATAATAGATTCCCGAAGATCTTTGCAAGCAGATTGTAGATAAAGAAAGGTACTGGTTTAAGGAAATGAAAGGCATATATCATGCAGTTTAACTTAGACTTGTCCTTAGACAGGAACATCGGCAGAGTTAAACTGTGGAGGGATAGTTTTCGGCTAGTAGACGGCCGATTTGTGACAATCTAAAGAGACAACATTGCACAGCTATGGCCAATTCAATTAATAGCAAGGATTGAACTGTGTTGGTCAATTTCTGCAAAGAGGCTTATTCTCTTAGAGCAAGAATCAGAGGCACTCGATGAGGGTGGAAGCGACTTCCCTTGGCGGATTCCCCTGAATAGGTGAAAAGCTCATCCTCGACTTAAATATTTTATCGTAAATATTTATCGTTTGTTTTGTTTTTTACTATTATCTCTTGCCGTATATAATGTACTTCATTATTATTTACTTTTACCAATTAATTAATCTTTATCTTATGAGTTTTCCGTCTTGAAGGTGGGATAATAGGTCATCTCAAAAAAACCACAATCAGTTTTCATCCACTTTTTTTTGTTGAGATGACCTATTATCCCACCTTCAAGAAGGAAAAATCATAGGTTAAACTGTTGAGGTCGAAATATAAGAAAAATTCGTTAATCTTTATGTAAGGTATTGGCCGAGATAAAAAAAGTCACTGTCACGAGCGGGATTCGAACCCACGACCTTCGGCTAAATACGCAGCTCTTTACCACTTGAGCTATCGTGACTTCGATCCACTTGGACACCAACTTCCCATCTCAACCCACCTTTCGAATTTCCCCTCCTTTTTTGCCTTTTTTCAAATGTCGTGTCATCTATTGCGTCTCGGCGACAAATGAAATGGCCACGGAGAGCTTTAGTGAAGATATACTTAATTTTTACTAATTAAATCCATTAGAGTTCATGGTCCGATTGACCAAATAACTTTTTGCAATTAATTAATCTTTATGTAAGGTAATGGTCGAGATAAAAAGTCAGTGTCACGAGCTGGATTCGAACCCACGAATTCGGCTAAATTCGCCGCTGCTCTACCACTTGAGCTAGTGACTTCGATCCACTCGGACACCAACTTCCAATCCAAACCCACCTTTCGAATTTTCCCTCCTTTTTGCCATTTTTCAAATTTTTTATCTCGAACAATACCTTACATAAAGATTAATCAATTGAAAAAAGTTATTTGGACGATCGGTCCACGATCTCAAATGGATTTACTTTTACTTTATTTTAGGTTATTTTATTGTTTGAGTTATGTGCATTATAGGTACTCATAAATAAGTGATGTAATTGCAATTATATTTCTGCTATTATTATTCAATTATGTTCTATTATTATATTACTTAAATTTTTGAAGAAAGTATATATTAGTTTTGTAAATACTAATTATAATTACTTAAAATACTCAGAAGAGAGATTTTAGTTATTTATGTGCTAGACTCCCTCAGATGGTTTTAAACATCTTTTAGAGAAAAATCTTTCTTGTTTTGCAATATATATTGCCGAATTTTAAAAGACATATCGTAGTAGTAGAAGAGAAGAAAAAAATTTCTTCTGCGGAAACTTTTGTAGTGGCGACTTAACTGATATATGATATATGACGATATATATTTATATAATACATAAAACTATATAAAAATTGTCTCTTTGCCCCTATTTGTTCGATTAATTTAGAAATGTTTCCGTTCGGCTTTACTTACAAATTTACAATCCTTCGATTTTCGTACTGGCGTGCAATTCAAACCGTTTTTCATGTCGTGCGGTCATCTTGGTCATCATCGCGAATCGAAGAGTTGTCTTTCTTTTCGCCCTCCGAAGGCGGTGGGTTGTTGTCGTATTTGGCCTCCGAAGTCGATTTATCTCCGGATTTAATCGACTGCTGAGAAACTTCCTGAGAGCTGTCAGCGGGGGGGATGACTTCGCTCGATTCCACATACATCCCGCCGCCGCCATTCCCTCTGGACATCGATTCTACGTATGCTCTTGAAAATAAACGTCATAAATTTTATTACAAGTTTATTTACGAGCTGTTATTCCACCCTGCCACCCCTATGCCACGGGAGAGAGAAGAGGAGAAAAACGGACGTCAACATGGATTACGGCGACATTCACGCTTTTGTGGCCGTGTTAGCCACGGTCTCGCCGTGTTAACGACGAAACAAGGACGAAGAGACAACCTTTCCCTTTAATAGACTCTGGGAATCGTTATTTACGGAAAATTTCTACCGTTGTTCTCTCGCCGAGGGGGCGGTCCTGGAAAATATCCCCTCGCACACCATGACCTAATTCAAGCCTAAAATCAATACCACCAGTTCTACTCACTAAAACCTACTTTCATGCTTTTAACGCAAGATGTTGCTGTTTTCAGTATTTCATATCTTTCATTATTTATTCATCAAGTACGACTTAGCTAAAGAGACTCCACATTTAACTAATGAAGTTTCATTGAACCTCATAATTGAATCTCCCTTTATAGCATTTACATATTTTGCACCGAATCTTTATGAATTACACTTCTTAATTGACGATGTAAAATTCTAACGAATAATATATACTAGACGGGGTTTTAACATGAAACGACCCAGCATATTTTTACCGCGACTAAAAGAATATTAAAACATAACAGTTAAAAAATATTAAATCTTTTGACCAATTTCAAAAACACAGATTAAAATTTCTTAATGTAGACCACCTCAGTCTGCATCGCTGTATTCACTGCACCCTGGAGGAAATGGCGTTTTCAAAATTTAAATTGACTGAATATAAAAATAGTTATAGCAGTTTTAATGAGTGGAATTTATTTTTCTTTACAAAATCTTGAAATTTTAGAAGTGTTTTTTACATGCATGTAGTAAAAGACGATTTCGTATTTTATTTTTTATTTTTTTTACAAATAGGATTTTGTGGTTTTAACACTTTTTTTTTTAAATTTTTGGACTTTCCGCGATTTACATCCACAATCAGCAACTACAAAAAATTATTTTTATAAAGCCATACCCTCATCACAAAAGAATATCACCATTTTACATTCGTATTTTTTTTTCAAATTTTTGGATTTTTCAGGATTTACATCCATAATCAGCAACTACAACAAATTCCTTTTATAAAACCATACCCTCATCACAAAACAATATTACCATTTACATTTGTATTTTTTTAAACTTTTGCTTATCTTATTATTTTTGTGATTTTTACATTATTTGAGTTAATTAAAGATTAGGACCATTTATCATCTATAAATTTTCGTTCTTCTTTATATTCATACTTATTTATATTTAAGTAAATTGTTAAAGATGTATTACTTGTCACTTTTGTTATGATGATGGTTTATAAAAGACATTTTTTATAATTTATGATTATGGATGTAAATCTCGAAACGGTCCAAAAATTTGAATCAAAACTAAAAGAGTATAAAAACCATACTCCATTTTTTTTCCTAAAAAAAAACATAAAAATTTGAAATGGCATTAATCTTCTTTGCAGTCTTACTATGATTTGCAAATTTTTACATCAAGATTTAAACTGAGTAGAGCAATGAGAGAATCATATATAAATGAAAATTTAGGCGTTTTTGTCGCCTTCCCTCAGCCCTTAAAAGATGTGACAGCTGCCTATGGAAATTTGAATGACTTATGATGATTATGCTAACAATCCCAAATATATTTTGCACTCGAATTTAAGTATATTGCGACAACGACTAATTTTCCCTATTAGCAAATGGAAAAGAAATTATAAAAAAATAGAAATACGTACTCGTCTACGGACAACAAAGTTGGATAAACTATGTATATTTATTTATTGCAACAGGGCATGAGTGTTCAAAAAACATCGCCTGACAAACATTATTTCATTTAAATTGAAATTAGCTCTCAAAAACAGCGATCATTAATCATCAGGCTATTAAAACCATCAAATTTTCCCTATTGTCCCCGATAAATTTTGGAAAAAAATAATGTATGTTGGCCTTATTTAAGCAACGTAATGATTTCAATTGGTTTATCATTTTTATGTAAAGTGTGGTTTACATGAAAAATTAGTGTCACGCGACTTGAACCCACGACCTGCGGCTCAATACGACGCTGCTCTAACCATCTTTGAATATATGACAAAATGAGGGAAATTTGAAAATAGTTGTAGGTTGAGTTGGTACCCAGGGGGCCGAAGTCACGAAGGCGTGTTGAGCCGAAGGTTGTGGGTTCCAGTCCCGCTCGTGGCACTAATTTTTCATCCCAATCACACTTTACATAAAAATTATAAATCATTTTAAAGTGTAAAATGCACTTTCTAGTGACTTAAACCTCATAGGGAGCTAAAAGGTTTGAAGTTGAGTTCCTGAATCCTAATTTCCTAAAGTACGGCAGAATATATGTTATTTTTTTAAATTGCAAATTAAAAATTGTATTTTCCTACAACCTGGTTAACCCTGTATGTTCCAAATTGTAACGATATTATAATCTTCATTTTGGCAATGTTTATTTTAAGTATGATGTAATGTCTGTGCGTCGGTTTTTTTGGGTTAGTACGTCAAACGCTGGCAAAAGTTGTTCTAACCGGTCCAAACTAGGCAAAATATACTAATAATAAATAAAAACAGACGTGAGCCCAGGGAAAACAATTTAAAGTATCTGATTTGAAACCATTCCAAGATAAAACGTCTACTGAACGTCTAAATTTTATTCGACTTTACCATCGGACGAAGTACATGGGAAATTCATATTTTGCGTGTATGCTTATATACTGTATTATAACAGTCAAATCGGAAAATAAAAAAATGTTTGTCGTCCCTTGTTGAATTTTCCTTGTTTTATGGTAAAAATCTGTATGTCCTTTGAATAGATATTATACAATAGTCAGCGTGCAACTGCTACAATTTTCACGGGAAAAAAATTCGCAAATATTTTTTCTATGTTTTGGGCCATTGACACCCTAATCCCAGTTTTGTCCCGTCTATTTGTGACCAGGATTTGTTTTAAAAATACAACCAGGAGCTCACCGGGCTTGGCAGACGATGAAGTGCGGAGGATGCGATCTTTGACATGTAATTAGACACCCTAATAATAATTATTATTGTAACAAACAGTGGCTATTTAGAGGATAGCGGTTTTACTCCGAAATAGACCCTGAGATTAGTAAAATCGTATACGTGAAACATCCCTTGTCACCTCACTTGAACGGAGAAATTCTGATCAGCTGATTAGGGGGAATCTTCCCATTAGTTCCTTCAAATTACAATCTTCTAAAAAAAAAAGGACACTCCCAATAACGGACTCAGACAGATTTTTCAACCATAGCTTAAACTCTCCCAAAAGCGGACAGAGGCCTCCATAAAATGAAAAGTATGTGAGGCAAGCCTCCTGTGTTTTGTCCGCCTTCACTATTTTCCCAGTATTCCTAGATTTTGATTATGCTGTATTGCAAACAAGTTGTAAGTACTTATTCAGTGCCTTTGACAATTGAACAAAAAAAAAAACAATAAAAATTAGTGAAAGTGAAAAAGGTAGTGGGCATGACTTTGATGTGAAGAACTTTTGGATAAATTTAGCAAACACGGGAATGACCATCCCAGCAGTGCACCAGGACGTATTTGGGCGGTTTTGCCATGCTTGTAGTGGTTTGTACCACATGGTCCGGTGAGGTAGTGACGAGAAAAGGTCTTAGAAGTTCCAAAAAAGAGCAAACGGATTTTTTAATAGCCGTTGGCTCGAGAAATTTAGACCACGGCATAAAATTTCTTTTAAGAACATTAATTGAACGAAGGACGGAGGTTGTACAAATCTGGAAGGAAAGACTGAAACAATATTGCCCCGATTTTGAAAAAAAAAATTTTTGCGCCGAGCCTGGATTATTTTTTAGCACACCTCCGGATAAAACTATGCAGTTAAAAAAGTAGCGTTGTCGCAGGGGGAAAGTTTCAAAGGAGCGTTTAACTTTGATCTTGCAAAAGTATGCTGATGAATTGAAAAATTCCTTAGTCATAGAAAACGCTAAAACTTTCAAGGTTGGGGGCTTCAAAGGTGTCGATTATCTCGTGGTCTCCCCATTATGGTCCGGCTTGCAATCCTAAGCATTTTTTCACTCCTATCCCAAAGAGGACATTTCTGTATAGCGGACAATATTTCATTCCCCAACATTGTCCGTTAATGGTAGTTTCATGGTACACGTAAAATTGTTGAGGCAATAAATTTCTAACCAATTTTTGAAATATTTTGTTTCTACTGTTACTGTACTTTTACTCTTTTAGCGTTAAGTTCATTTATTATCACTCCTGTTTTGTGACATTATTTTTTTTTTTTGGCCTCCGAATCCAACCAGTATCGTTTCTATACCTTCGATTGGTTTAATTTTAATCCTCATTATATTCATTATTTATTCAGAACTCGTGAGATACGGTCTGGTGTGATGTAGGTTTCAGAAAAACATTTTCTTTATCGTGCCTACGTTTCGATCTTTATTGAGATCACCTTCAGGGCTCAAAGTGTTTGTCTTCTGTGTAATTGTGCCATTTTTGTGTGTCGTGTTGAGAGTCACAATTACACTCTCAACACGACACACAAGAATGGCACAATTACACAGAAGACAAACACTTTGAGCCCTGAAGATGATCTCAATAAAGATCGAAACGTTGGCACGATAAAGAAAATGTTTTTCTGAAACCTACATCACACCAGACCGCATCTCACGAGTTCTGAATAATTATCGATTAACGGTCACTAATCACCATATATTCATTATATTTATCTTTTTAATACACATTTTCAAACGACAATCGCCATAAATAAAATTTCAATTTGAACAGTTAAATATTCTATTTTGATATGTGGGAGTCACTGGAGCATTGAGAATGTATAATAATAGAAGCCGGTTGATTTAACTACAACAGATGTTTTTTCTGGCACTGTTTTCAAAACGAAGCGTCCTATCTGATTTTTATGACTCGTTACGAACGAATTGAGCGTTATTTATCAATTAAACAAACATATTCTTAGCTCTTGAGAGCCGGACAATACCGTCCAAACCGGTTATTCGGTCATATTCAAAACAACAAGTCTATCAAGTCTTCCAGTTACCCTTAAAGTATTCAAAAATGAAAATAGACCCATGGAATATGAAAATGCGCGAAATGATGTCTTGGCGTTGAGAAGTTATCAAAGTGCAGCGATATCTTGTCAAAAAGTAAATACTATATTACTCGATATTTAAAAAAAAAAATTTTAAATAAAATAACTCTTGGTAACAATCATTTCAAATTTGAAAAAATGAAGTTTCACTATGAACTTAAACTTAACAAAATTAAGCGAATAAAAACTAAATATCCTATCGTTTACTACACAGTTTCCTATGGGCAATTACGGAATCAATAATAACTGACAAAATAGTTTTTTTTTAACAGACAGTTAAGAAAGACAAAGGAAAAATCTCGTTACAGCTCGGTTAACCGGTGGTTTTACACGCCTTGACCCATCATCGGGGTGTGTAATTTCCTTATTTTCCCTATTCTGAAATCTTTCATATTTTCCTTTTATATATTTAAGTTCAATATTGTTGTTCTTGGCTTTATGTAAAGAAAAACTGTGGGTAAATGAAAAATGTATGAAGGTCGAGCCTGCAAAAAGCGCATGATCTATTCAGCTTGCGAACAGCTGATCATTGGGGGCACCTGTTTTCTCAAACAAAGCTAACAATATTCAAAAACTCAACGTTAACACATCGAGAATAGGTTGAAGATTTCGTCGACAGTAAATTACGAACACGAAACTGTACATGGAGGCAAATAGTCATTGGATGTATTGATGCTTTTGTGGAGGGGGATGTCTATATATAATCATGAGCATAAGTTGGAGGAGGGAGATTTCAGTATAAAAGCGGCAGGAAGGGTTTCTTTGGAGGGCAAAAAATATGTAACAAAGATAATAAAAGGATCACTCACTTGTATTCTGTGTAGCCGAGCCAGATGTACCAAAGGGCTAGCATTTCTCTTCTTTTTCCTTTATCTCCGCGATTCTTCCTCGAACTTGACTTTTCTGGTCTGCGCACAGGAAAACACTTTATCCAGCTTATCTGTCGTACTACTAAAATAGACGGCTTGGTTTTTCAAAATAAAATCCCCGGTTTATAAATATATTTGGATTTTTTCCGCGCCCAGGGCCTGTGTGCAAGTAAGGCGGATAGAATCCACCCCAAATAGAACTATGAATCCGAGGTGGGGGACCAGGACCAGGATTAGACCATTTCTTTTGGAAGCCGTTCAAAAAAAAATTGTCTTACCCGACGGTCACCAACCCCTTTAACCTATAAATAGTAAAATTCACCCTTGCACGCTGGCCACAGGAAATAAAGCGGCGGAAGAAACTCCTGACCGCGAATCAACTCAGAATAACAACAAAAACGAACAGTTTTGTTTAAAATTTCACCTTTTAAAAACAGGTACGAGGGTATGTTATTGTCAATGGACTGTGGAACTCTCTGGTGACCTGCTCCCGGCGAAAATCGATCATCTACGCTCCCCTCTTCCGCCAACAGTTTATAACTATAGCTACTTCAGTTTTAACTTTGGATTAAAAAATAATTAAAATTATCCATAGATTATTGTTTTGTGTTAAATAATAGGAATACAATTTTTCAACATTTTGAACAAAACAGGAATTTTATTCCCAAACTTTCTATTGAATTTCCCAGTTAACTAGTGAATTATTTAAGAAGAAAACATTTATCACAAAATTCCGTCTGAAAATGACGAGGCTATTGTAGATAAATACTCTCATTATATTATTAAATAAAATTTAAGACAAATTGGCTGCAATTAAGTTGGAAAAATCTGGAACTTAGTACTCTTTGTTATAGGGTAATTTTATTAGTTATTAATAACTAAGCATAAATAGGCTTAGCCTGGTACACACTGGGACTTTGTCTGGACTGAGTCGATTCATGTTGCCATTCAGAATCTATGCTGGATAGATGTATGCTATTTTCGAACTCAGCCCAGATACGCTCCGAAACAAAAAAATTTAAAAAACATGTATATGCCAAGATTCATGTCGCGATTCAGAATCTATGCTTAATAGACGTATGTATGCTATGTTCGGACTCAGCCCAAATAATGCTACGAAAAAAAACAAAAAAAAAAAGCTAAAAGATATCTCAATAAAGATCGAAACTTGGCACGATAAAGAAAATGTTTTTCTGAAACCTCTTCATGTCGCGATTCAGAATCTATGCTTAATAGATGTATGTATGCTATGTTCGGACTCAGCCCAAATAATGCTCCGAAAAAAAAACAAAAAAAAACTAAAAGATGATCTCAATAAAGATCGAAACGTTGGCACGATAAAGAAAATGTTTTTCTGAAACCTTTTCATGTCGCGATTCAGAATCTATGCTGAATAGACGTATGTATGCTATGTTCGGACTCAGCCCAGATGCTGCTCCGCAAAAAAACCGTGTACACACCAACATTCCTGTTGCGTTTAGTTCTAAGTGATGGACGAAGTTGCTCTCTCAGGGATTTCATTTGCTCTGTTTTATTTAACAAATTACAATCATAATAAAAACATTAAAAACAGATGGTGGGTGAGAAAACCATATCAAGGTTGCCAAAATAATAAAGATACATAGCCCAACCAAGAACACTTGGTTGGTTAAGCACCAATTTCTTGTTTTACATTTTTTATGCTCTGAAATTGGCCCTTCAAGGTGTACAATTGTTTTTCAATTTCGGCTACTGAAACATTACTGAACTTTGTCAATGTTTTAGCATTTTATTTTTTAAATCTCGGTTTCTAAACTTCACTGGAGCTTACATCCCATAAACAGTAAATGGAATGTATGTCCCCAATAAATTACTCCACAGCATTATACAATTATATTAGTCATAACTGAAAACACTAAACTAATAAAAATTAAAACCTAACTGAACTAAAAGACTGAAGAAACGAGGGGCATGCGACCTCTACCAGCATAGATTCATCCACAGATTCCATTTCGATCAGGACTGGGCTTTAGTAAAACAATTAGTACAATATAATTTTTTACTTCTTGTTTTAGTGGTGGTAATTTTAATTCTTATCAATATGAAAAATGGAAAATTGTTAACTTTTTTTATTGCTTCTTGGTACAGTGGAACGACACCCCCTTGATACCTATGTAGAGAGGGTGTTGTACCTAAGGACAAGCCTTGAAATTGGAGATAAAACTATTTATTAACAAATTATTGAATTTCGTATGGCATAAAACAGATTTTAAAAAAGTCTGTGACAAAATTTATCTTTTTTCCGATCTTTGCAGTATTAGGGATGAAGGAAGATTTAGATTTGGAGTTTGTAATCAACATTTAAATGTGACAAAACTGTAATGCTACACCCCCAGTTTAACGACCTTTGCCCTTTTTAAAAGTCCATTATTTCACTGTTTTACAACTGACTTAAAAATCAGTAAGCTTAGTTGAATTTTTTAAGAAATTAATAGTGTTTATTAAGGAATTTGTAATAAAAGGGTATTAAAGAGTTAAATTAGTCAACACGTCCTATCCATTATCAAGATTGATTACATAGTCCTTTTTGTATCAATTAGCGATCGTGCACAATTTTAAAATATACAGAAACGAAACTTAAGCTTTATTATAGTATCAGCAGAATGGACCTTATTTGATTCTATAGCAGGAAGAGATAAAATAACAATTTAAATGTCGGACCTATGTCTAGGATCGGAAGTTTGTCCTTTTGTGATAGCAAAGAATCAACAAAAATAAAACAAGACGGTTTCACCGGAGTTTTTCTCCACCCCCACTTGCAAAAAGTATAAAATTTCAACATATAACATTATTGCTAATTGGGTGTAAAACAATTTAAACGGGAAAAAAGTTTAAAGCGCATTTCTAAGTCTAAAACTATCGTAAGTATTATGTTATGTATATTAGTTTAAAAAAAATTGTTTTTTAAAGAATTTAAACGACCACTCTTGCATCTGCAGCGAACGATTCGAAAATTCTTTTGAAGGTGATCTTATTTTCCAGGCAAAGAGCGTTCGGGAAAAAGAGGGTGGGGTCCCAAATAATATAAACATTGGAAAATATTTTATTTTAAAAAAACCAATGCCCTGATGATTTAAATGTTTACTCACATTAGTTTGTCAAAAATTAAATCGGGAGTTGACCAGAGACAGGAGCATTCCGGAGGGAGGGACGACTCGTCTCTCTAGGTGTGATCCTGCTCCTTTACCGTACGACTGTTCATAACAATTGATGTAGCATATGTGCGGCGTGGCGACGGGTGAAATTCTACGTGTTGTCTCGAAAATTTGCACCCTATGTTGTATGATGTTTTAAATTTGAGTTATTTAGAAACGAGATTTCTGTGAAACACATGGTGAAGAAAAATTGTCATATTGGTTTCTTTTAGTAGAAGGTTATTAGTCCAGATATTTGTTAGATTCGTGTCGTTTACCTTAGTTCCTTAGTAGACTATCTTAAAAGACACAGGTGAATTGTTAAATATTGAATGCCCCTGTTTTACATTAAGTCTGGTCTGTTTCTTTTAACACCAGACAATCCAAAATATACATAAAAATGTCGACCCCGCGGTTAAAAGTTTTACGATCAAATTAAAAAACATTTTCTCAATTTAAAGTTTTTACTAGATTTAACTACATACTGCTTCATTTACTCGAGAGTATTCAATTTCTAGATCGTTCCGATTTATTTATTGGCGTAAAACCGCAATTTCTGAACCCGTTGTAGCTATATTTTCTACTGTCCAAACTTCACCCAGAAATTAATTTCACCCTCATTTCTAAGCGAAGATGTTTGGGGTGCACGTCGAAAATCTGACATAAAACACTGATCTAATGAGGATCAGGTGGCTTGGGCAGTGTTTATGTCAGACCTGAAATAAACCAGAGGAACTTCAGGCACACTGATAGATCGTATTGATATTAGTATTGTAATTACAAATATAAAAGGTTTCAACTTTCATCTTTTTTTAGCGATACATCTTTTACATTTAGTACAATATTGCAATTACTTTTGTATTTATTATGATTTTTACAACTGCGATTTTTACTCGCAACAAGCAAATGAGATAACAGACAGTAACAATCTGGCATGTCACACCATAGGAGAAGACAGGGGGCTTCGGTGGCCGCAACGGGGCCATCATTATAAAGTAAAGGTCTCGGGTTCGAATCTAGTGGCCCTGCATTCGAACCAGACGTTCTTGGAAATGGGCTCTTTCTTAAAAACATGAGCCCGAAGGTTGATATGATATGGTAAAAAAAGAAGAAAAAAATAGAAAAACCACCACACAATACCACTCCCTTACATTGAGTCAAGAGATCTCGTCCACAACCCCTTCAAACGACGTGTGGGATTTCCAGGAATGTTGGGATAAGATATCTGTTGGACAAGAAATCTGTTGGACAAATAGATTGGTGGAGGTGAAGGTTTAATTAATTTTTTATGGAAGTTTTTTTACCGGGATAATATTGTCAATTACAAATAGAATTTGGAGCTGATTGTGGATTGTTAGGTTTGAATTTGGATAAGTAGTAGGGACAGTTTAATAATTTTTTTTAGAATTTTAGATTGGATGTTTTTGTACGAAATGGATATTTCATTGAACCCCAAACTTCAATTCCGTCCATAACAGTCTGCTATAAATAGTGGGTTTGTTAATAAGGCGTAAGTTAGGTTTATGCTTAAGTAAACTAAGGAGTAATTTGTAGTGTCGGTTAGTTTCCTGACTTTTCAGTCATCGGGTAGCACACCATATGCCACCACCAGTTTTCCATTGAAATCGATTATAGGATAGGTGGATTTTCAGAATGTAAAACAAGACCAAGACTGGATAAGGTTTAAATAGAGTTAGAAGTCATGACTAGCTAGGGAAGGAGGATTAGATGACAGGATGGCAGTGGCGTCAGCAAAAGATCATACAGTATTATTAGGGAAAATGGGAACAAATAGGAATGGCCCTAGGATGCTGCCTACGGGGACTCCTTTAATGGGAATATAAGAAGAAAGCAGATAGTATTTTCTATTAAAAGTATCTGAGCTTCAATAGCAAACCACAGTGCCATACCAACTGAACATTTGAGCCACATAGAGAAAAACATCCAAGCAGTTTTTCCTCTAGAGAGGATGATACAGTATCCACAAGATAATGTACTTGTTTAGTGGTGTAAAACAAGCAGAAACTGGTGGTGAGGTAGAATATTAGGAGTTTGATTATTGATATAAACCTTTTATGAAGACGCGTTTCAAGGATTTTGCTTTGAATAGGAAGGAGTCAAACAGAGCAGTTGGGTAGGTTTGTTGGGTTTTGGGAGCATTTTAATTACAGAATAGTCCACTGTATTTTGAATGTGTTGTTGTTGGGGTATATATGAAAGAAAGAGCAGAACTTTTTTTGTTAATTTTTGCAGTTGGATGTAATTAGGTCATAGCCTAAAGTTTTTCGGGAATTTTATTTGTACATTTAATTTCTGAAGTTATAAGAAATAGATTTAATACTATGAACCTCAGTTATTTTTCGATTGATTGATCCATGATATTGCAAATACATATTAGGTATCAATGTATGCACATAAGATATACATTTTTATTACTTGTATAGGCTATATATTCCATAAAACCGGTGGTGAGATAATTGTTAATATCATAATGGCAGAAACTGGTGGTTAAGACACTGATGGAGTTCTATAGGACAGCCAAAACTATAAGCAAAGAGCTCCAAGGTCAATTGCAAAAATTTAAAAAATAGGCCTTCAACAATACCTTCAGTGAGGGTTATCAAAAGGGCTGACTGAGCTTTACTCGCCCCATTGCCCATGGATTTATATTTCAATTTTTTAATTATACATAATGCACTACTATGTTATTTTGATGAAGAGAAAAGCATATATAAATACTTTATGTAATGATGAAATAAAATATGGCTACAGTGTAGCTGACAAAAGAATTACTTAATTTTGACAGATCCATTTTAACCATAGACCATAGAAATAATGAAAGATCACAAACTGTGGAGTACAGCATTGATATCAAAATATCTACAATCAAAAATAAAACAAGGAAAGGAAACAGGGGCAATGGGAACAAATGTCTATCTCACAACCTCAGGGACACATTTCCTCAATCTTCCTAGATGAGGAATTTGCAAATCAAGTTGTTATTGTACAATTTTAGCTCCAGATTTTAATAGTGCTCAAATCATCTCGAATTTCTGGGAAAAAGAAATAAAATGTCAGTAATATAGGTGCCATGATATGGACGGATTGAAGAAAATAGCCTAGCTATCAAGCTTGTGAAGGTGCTGAACCAGAATTTCAATAAAACAACAATAAATTAAGCAAAATTGTTAAATGGGTATTTTTTTGAAAAAGATAGTTCACTACCTATTAAACAATCGAAATGATAAATGTGGGGTGAGTATGTTGTTTAGTCTGTTTTAAAAAGATAGTTTTTACTTACAGTTCGTTGTTTTCAATTATCCGGATTCATCTTATAGCTCTTCATCTGATTGAAGGAGTTAAAATTGTAAGCTATCCCTAGGGTTTTTTCTATGTGTTAGGTTATGTCTCCATTGAGCTGTTGCTTTGCATTCAACGATATGGGAGGCTGCTTCTTATTCCTCATTGCATAAATCCACAAATGGGATCATCATTGAATATGCCCATGTTATTGAAGTGTTTTCTCAGATGCCAGTGACCAGTTATAGTCCTATCAGTACTCTGAGCTGGCTCTTTCTCCATTTGTAGCAGTGAGTATGCCTGTCTTGATGAGTGTTGCTTTAGCATATGTTTACTGAATCTAGAGCTACTATTGTTTATCCACTTTGTTTTAAATCCATTCTGTGATTGAAGATTCTGTCTTTGTTTTTGTTATCCCAAATATAGGTTAGGGCCTTGCAGATCCTCCACTGGTAAGTGTTGTCTGATATCTTCAGATTGATCTTAAACATCTTGAAGACATCTTAAGATATCTTCAGGATGTTGTGTTGTCCCCAGGTTTTGGAGATTTTGGATACATTTACTCTCTAATTTGATGTGATTTTTTTACATACTAAAATGCTTTAATAGCTGCTTGGCTATCCGATCTTATGAGCATTTTTTGTCAGTGTAACCTTTTTTATGATTTTCCAAGGCAAATGTTGATGGCATGTATTTCTTTATTGTTCATGTACAGTGGAGGACAAGATTGTTTTACAATTGTGAAAATACACTGAGTAAATATTTCTTCATTCAGTCTTTGATAAGCCCAAGCTGTTGGATGTTGGAAGGTAGCTTGGATAAGATTCGTGTTATAGGACAAAATGGAGATATCGTCCATGTTAACTGGTGATGATGGTATTAGGATGTATAGGTAGGTCAGCAGTATACATGATATAAAGGATGTGATCAAGAATGCTTCCTTGTGGGACACCTGCTTTTATTTATCTGAATTCTGAAAATTTGTTGCATTCCTCACTCTGAAGCACTGATCAGGTAGGAGTGCATAGGAAGCACAAAGTTTATAGTAGCTGGGTGAGAGCCTATGCTACATCTAGGAACACGCCCAAGCAATACTCTTTATTCTCAAGAGTGGAGACTAATAGTAAGACAAATCACTTTTCGATTAATAGTGAGATTAATTGTTGATGACGCGAGTGTTGGGTGTATGTGATAATTTACTAAGTTACTGAAATAAAAAGGGATGCAACTATGTCATATAGAACACAACTGTACATACTGAAAGGGAAATAACCAAATCAGCAAGATTGGGCTCAACTAAACTTCAGGTTGCAACCTTCAGATGAAATCTCACAATTTATCCTTAATAATGTTACATTGACAACACAACAGAGGAACCATTTGTAATTACCAGAAACCCCTTGAGTAAAAAAGATTAAAAATTGGGGTCACATTATATTATTTTATTGTACTAACAATACTATAGTACTATTACTTCTTTCTACGGCTGTGTGGACTTAAAGAACACATTATGTGATGCATGATGTTACTAAACAGTAACTGCGTTGAGTCGTACTTTTTTTCATAATCTTTGAAAGAGATTCGACAGTCAACTAAGATTATCCAGATTAAAAAATTTCGCTATGCACATTCCATGCACAAATTGTCATTCAAGGCTGAGAAAAGACAATAAATGACTGTCTTTATTTGCCAGTGATTGCCCTGGAGAAGGAAATTATGTTTAATGCATGAGCAATACGTTAAAAAAAAATTATCAAGTGCATTTTATAACTTAATTAAACATTAAAATCGGGTTATTATTTCCTTTAGAGAAAAAAGTTTTATTTCTGACAAATAATTTTGCTATTTTAAGTTTTTCTTAAAGAAATCTTTCATCTATTTATATGGTACATACGCTGTTAAAAAGCTAAGATCCTCTTCTTTAACATGGTATGTATGACGTTAAAATCCTTTTAGCTGTTTCAATCAATTCCGATAACAATTTCTTA